CATTTCGCGTTGTGTACACCCGAGCTCCCATGGTAGCTCGATGATCCACGTCCCCGCTGCAGTCCAACTGATCGATTCTAGTTCTAGTTCATTCAGCGCTATCTGGTATTCCAGTATAGCCTCGCCTTCCGACTCTGCGGTGGGTTGAAAACATTCACTGACTAGCTGGTGTAATTTGTCTCCTGGTGATACTCCCGCTGAGTGCAAGGGTCGTGTGAGCTTGTTTCTGGGCGTAAGTGTATTCTCCCAAGCAAGTGATGTCCCTCGGAACATCCAATGCTTCCACGCCTGCCAGTATGAGTCTTTGCGTTGGACTAGCCAGAGGATCGTTTGTTTTACCCTCTGGGTCTTGCACGCCACCGGGATTGAGACGAGTCCCATTCCTCCTGCCTGTTTAGGAGCGAAGACTAGGCCTGGAGCGACCTTGTGACGAGTACTCTCTGTTGCCGTTGCATGCCTCCACAGAAATTGTTTTTGCAGATTCCTAAGTTGCTTGTCTGCCCATTTAGGCATGTCGAAGGCCGCTGCTGTGAATAGAACCGAGGGAAGCATAATGACGTTCAGGATGGTGATCCGATGGTCGATGCTTGTTCCCAACTTCGTTGCCGTTGCTAACCGTCTTTGGATGTTGCGAATCCTGCCTGCCCAGTTGATGTCTGTCAACGGCCCTGTGCCCACTTGATAACCCAAATATCGGACGGTGTCACCTCGTCTAAGGACCGGTAGGCCGAAGAACTGGTGTTCTTCGATCGCCTTGTTTAAGAAGATGAGCTGACTTTTGGCTGGTTGCACCTGCAGACCCGAGAGTTGACCGAAGCGTTCTACGATATTCATTACTTTAGGGATCTGGTGGGCATGCTGCAGGAATACTGTCGAGTCATCTACGAGCGCAGAGAATAAGTGCCGCTGTCCTCCTGTTCCTGGGACTTCCAGCCCTTCCAGTGTGGTGTCCTGCTTCATCGCCAGTGCTAATACTTCCGCCGCAATTATAAACAGTAACGGGGCTACTGGACAACCTTGACGGATACCCGAGACAACTGCCTGCGATTCGGAGAGTTCTCCATTTACAAGAAATCTTGCCGTTGTGCCATCATGCAGCCGCCGTAAGAGATTCACAAATTCTACCGAAAATCCAAACTTTAGTAACGCCAGAAACAGGAATTCCCGCGAGACGGTATCATAAGCTTTCCTGAAGTCGAGAAGGAGAATTACTCGACTTAACAATGCCGAGAGTTCCGGTTCTCCTCGAGCCGTGGCGGTCACCGCCAGCATCATCATGACAGTCTTTATCATCTGTCGGCCGTGCACGAATCCCTGTTGTGAGTCGCCGATCGGTTTACCGATAACTTTCTGCATCCTGCCCGCCATTACTTTCATGAAGACTTTGTACGCGGTCTGTAGAAGTGAGATTGGTCTGAAGTCCATTGCATCTACCGAGTCTCCTTTCTTCCTGAGAGGAATAATCAAACCCACCAGGAAGGAGGGAGGCGGTTCCGCTCCTGCCAGTAACTCGTTACCTATCACTACCATTGCTGGAGCAAGGACCGGCTGAACATCCTTGAAGAAGTCATTGTTTAACCCATCTGGGCCGGCCGCTTTGTGTCGATTGAGTTCGGCAATGGCCCCGAGAACCTCATCAATCGTGATTTCAGCCATTAATTCTCCATTTTGCTGCGGTGTTATCTGCCGATCTCCAGCCATCGTTGAGAAGCTTACGAGATGATTCATCTCGCGTCTCCACTGGAGACGGCACGCAACGAAAATCTAGGACCGTGGAGTCCCAACGAAAAGTGCTCTTCATGTATATGTATTGCCTGGAGCAAAAAACAAAATTTGTTAAAAAATTGGAACTAGGGCTACGCTTGGCTGGGATAGCAAATGCAGGGTGTATTTTGAGTTAACCACCTACAATGTAGTAAAGAGCAGCAATGAACTGAAACCCGCCCAGGGTACCGTAGTTGTTCGGCCTCACTAACCTCACCAGCCAATGTAGCCTGCTGTTCACCACTTACGGCGTGCAGCCCCATCCGTGCAGCCCGCCGCTGCCGCTGCAACTCGTTTTTTCGTTCTCGACGTTCTCGTTCACTGCGTACACCAACTTCACGTCGACCTGGGTTTAACCTATCACCAACCACGGCAACTGGCGGGTCGTCATTTGCACCGTCGGCTTCACTTATGTCATTGAAACCAAGTCACGCTTGTCTTCGGTTCTCCATGCTGCAGGTGGAGCGTATAATACTAGTAGCTACGTTAGGCCAAGTTGGAACGATTGGTGGGTCGTGACATCTCTCTCCGGCTCGGACTCCAGCCAGACATTGTTCAAAATTTATCACTCATCGAGCTGCCCGCACTGTCGACGCCTGTGCATTGACTGCCGGAGGTGGCGGCATTCTTGTTCCAAAATTGTTGTAGATGACGTACTTACCAGCCTTTGAGAGTCGACTCAGTAGTTGTTAGCGATGTGTGCCACGATGTGTTCGTTCTTGTTGCCACCTAGTTTAGGAGACCGACCGGAAGTTCCATGCACGTAGTTGTTAAACATGCTGACGCCAGTGTTTCGACCGTAGAACAGAAAGGTCCAGTAGTGGTGGCCGTCGCACGTGGACGAGTAGTCGGTGTTTCCGTCAAAGTCCGAGTTACTGACAGTCATAGTGGCGACACCAGCCTTCTTCGTGACACGAGCATTTGACGACCCACATGAGAAACCTTGACGTGGTCGATCCAAATGTTGTTGATGGTCGTGTTGGCGTTGTTGGAGCCTCGCATCGCCGCCCCACACGACGTGTCGGTTGAGCTCAATGATGTAAATATTCTATAGGATAATATTGTCGCCGTTCAACGTCAGTCCCTTAACCATAATGACGCCGCTCTTGCCGATACCTCTGACGGTCTTGTTGCCCTTCACATTCATACGCTTCAGTGCTGCGTTGTCGTACGTCAACGTCACTTCAGTGACGTACCGCCATTGGATCCAGGGAATTCAACGTCCTGGATGATTGAGTAGAGCGGCAGTGGCCTTCCGTCGACTGATACTGCTCGGAAGTACAGCACAGGGATCTGGTAGATTGTGTGGTAGGCGATATGGAACTCAAGTAGAGCAGTCTCAACGTCTGGAGACTGCAACGTAGTATGAGCTTCGTCATCGGCCGTCATGATACCCTAAGGAGTATAGCAAGATACGATGTGAGTCACAGCTGTAAACATCTAGTATATTTCCCGTGGTGAAGGTAGAATGTCTAGCCCACCTCCTCATCCAACAGCAATTCGTCAATGTCCCCAGTCAACTCCTTCCCACTCTTTTCGTCTTCATCGCGTCCTAATTGCCGCACATTTCCCGTTGAGACGAGGTACGAGTCTCCATCCAAGTGCATCAACATCGCATCAAAGATCAATCCTATGCCAACTCCAGCACTAAGAGGATTTTAACGGCGCATGTTACCTGTCGGTTGCCGTGTCTCCACTCCCAAGTCGCCATGGGCTTCGTATCCCCCGCGTCCTGCTCGCTCGCCACTTCGTGCGACCACCTCTGCAGCAGCCCGACCTCCTGGCAGAACCTCTCGTAGCTCAGTACGGCGCAAGGGTCGACACGTTGCTGATACGCTGCCTTGTCGTGGCTGCCCCGGTGGCAATCCCGCAAATTCGTAAAGAGTATCCCTAACCGGCGGCTTCAGCTACCGGCTTCAGTTACTGACCTGTGGAGCAGCACCCATTCTGGATACTGCTATCCCAGTAAAAATTGAAGTCTGAGCTTTCGAAAGATGGTCCATCAACTAGGGCTTATCAATAATTTATTTTGAAATCATAAATTTATATATCTTGTCTACTTCACGAATGCAATTAATAATTAATCTGCCTGAAATGCCATTCTACCACAATTTATAAACAGATTTCTTCATCATTATGCTATTCACGGCAAACCACGGCATTTTCACTGAGAATTAATTCGCAAACGCTAAGTATCACAAGTCGCTGGAGCGCTCATTCTTCATTTCGGACAAAGCAGGCAGAATGGTGCTATTACTGCACGGAAACGGTGTGATTTCGATAGGCTGTGCATTTTTTTTTAAATGATGTTGAGTCGCTCTACATTATGTATTGTTTGGTCGCTGTACATACCATATGTATGTATTGGCACTAGCCGCTCAATGCCACTATTTGTGCTAGGGGGGTTCCTGATAAATAACAATGCCATAATCGGGAGCTCTGCCAGCAACCAGTTTGCTGTCCATCGTTTCATCATCAAGCAGCAATAGTCTAAAGTCCATCATTTGCTACTTTTAATTAATCAGTTTTGCGCTAAATAACTTTTTTAGAGAGATACTCCAATGAAAAATTACAGGTTGTCTCGACATGGAGTAAAACTAGTATAGGACTGTAATTGCGGCATCCCGAAGAAGCCAAACTTCTTAAAAAAAATGGTGTTTCAAACTCGGAAGAACTGTGTTGGCTAGAATAGCCGTTTAAATTTTTATTTATAGCAATACTGTACTGATAGATCTAGCTTGCAATGCTTGTGGGTTGTTGGTATGGATGAATAAAGTCAAATCTCCGACCATACTTGCCCTCACTATTCACGTTATTAGCCAATGAAGTGTGCTAAGTGCGCATTTAATAGTTTTAAATGAATAAAAGCAAAGTATGGTGCAGAAATTTGTCCAATCAGAAAGGTACTGTGTAAGTAGACAGCATCTCCGACATATCGAGCCGGAGGGGGTGGTCCAGATATTGACATCCTTTTACAAACTGTATGTGGTGTAGTAGGACACATAAATACCGTCAGATGTGGATTCCTTACACAAACAACAACAAATTGCCGAGCTAGGTCGGTGCTTGTATGGCCTGCGCAGAGGGTGGTCCCCTCGCGGTTCGGCCCAGCAGGGACAAACGAGTGGATCGCCTCCACTGAGTTCCGACTAACCAAGTCAGAGCACTTCCGAGGCTCTGCCGAGTCTGTCTCGGCTAAGTTCGTTCAGAGAACCCTGTGCCCTCCACTTAAGGATGGACGACGGTGCGCGAGCGCTTTTACAGGTCACTGGGCGCAGAGGCTGCTCAGCTAGAAGTGTTGCAGCACCCGGGCTATCCGACGTACCGGCTAGCTGAGTTTGCGGGGCTTTCTTTTGCGCGTAGCGAGACTTTTTCCTACCCGGACCGACCTAATCTCTTGGCGCTATCAGTCAATGTCCTACAAAATATGCCTCTCGGGTATCAACGGCAGGCATAATCCAGCCCTATGCAGGGAGTTACCGGAAGAGTGTACACGTGTCTTGGACTAGGCAAATCCTGTTATGTTATCTTCTGGGAGCCCCTTTGGCCCCCCCTATAAAATGTTATGCTTCCTGTACAAATATCTAGTGAAATGTAGTCGTTTCGGGTATCTATCAACCCGTCCGCTGGGTTCAGGCGACCGTTTAGCTCAGCGGCTATCCGGATAACAGCATCTGGGCAGGTCGCCAAGTACTTACCGTGATCATTTTTCCTCAGCTCTGGGATACCAGGCCGAGACGATTCTTGGTCTAGAGTAGGTTGATGTATGGCCGAATCTGAAAATCCCTTCACCACAGCTAGCCCGGTTATGATACGAGCCGAGCTGGTGAGTGTCTTAATCCTTCATTCAGTTTTGCCATCGTTGGTTCATACTCGGCTGATGATGTCTCGCGGTCCTTCACCGCCTTTTTCGGTACGTACACCGGCTCTGTTGTTGTTCACCTGTCTACTTCTCACACTCATCGTCTGCTTCTCCAGCACGTCCCACGGCGTCACTCTCCTCCATCCCCCCCCCCCCCGTCGAGGTGGAGGCGCATCCGCTGAGTCGTTTTTTCGGCCCGTTGGTACTCGTGGGGTCAGCGACCGGCACGATTCCGGGTTGGTCGACCTGATAACTTCCCATGGGTCTGACGCAGAGTCGGCGGAGCTTTCTCGCGCGCGCCTTTCTGGTCCACCGATCTTGCCGGGCAACACCACTTCGGACGTCAGCAATCAGTCAAGCTCGGCTGCACCAGTGAGTCTTGACTCCCTCGTGACACTGGTCACTCAGCAAGGGTACGAACGCCGGGAAGAATTGACCTTCTTGGCGAGGCTCATGGCCTACGGGTTCACTCGCCCTGTGGGGCCTTTTGATCCTGCACAACGGCGAGTAGTCCTGCACGCTTCTACAGCTGAGGAGCTGCTGGAACTTTTGAGCGGTCACTACGCTGCTCTTGATACTTCTAGTTCATTAGTGACCTCAGAGCTGACCTTCAGGCCGCCAGAGTCGAGAATCGCGCGTTGAATCAGCGGTTGGACACCCTCGCGCTTGACAACGTTGACTTGTCGACTCAGCTATCACCGGCATGTCTCGGCTGGAGGTTGCCGCTATGCAGTCTGTTAATCACCTCGCCTCGCTACGAAAAGCCGTAGCTCTGAGTGAAGCAAAACTCGCACGGGTTGTCGAAGCTGAGCAAGACAAGGTCGAGGCTGCATAAAGTCAAGCCCGGCTCCACCATCAGCAAGTCTTGAATCGAGACGCTGAGATCGCGACTCTCCTCCAGACCATCACCGAAAAGGACGCAGTGTACACGACACTTCAGGGCATTGCTGCTAAACATTTCGAGTAGCTGCAGGAATTGGTGCAGCTTTATAGCTCGACCGGCAATCAACCCTTGAGGCATGTTCAGGTGGTGATCGCTGGCCAGCGGGCAGTGATTTTACGGCAGAAGCGGGTCTGGCGAAACGGTACTCTTCCGATGGATGACCCTCATATGGATGCCGCTGCTGGCGCTGGGCTGGACGTTTCTGGACTCGATCCTTCCTACATTCGTCTGAACGCCCGGTTGTGTCGCATGTTGGAGTCTCGCTTCCCCGAAGTTCTCGACATCCCTGCTGGCGAGTCCCGCCAGCTCGAGTTGGTGATCCATCCTCGTCGGGACGCCCCAGCGGTGCTGCGGGTTTCTGCTGTTGGGCCGGCTGTTGCTCCCAGTGCTCAACCACTGAGTTCAGCGCCTTCAAGGCTTCCTACTTCTTCTGTGACTCTTTCGGTGAACTCGGCTGCGGTTCTTGCTAGTTCTGCGACGACTGTGAGTCAGCCCACGCAGACTCTCCCTCAACTTCGCCGTGCACCGTTGGCCGACTTGACATCTACGCAATGGCTTCGGCGCTACACGAACCCGAAGTCTCCGAGCTGCTGGTCCTCGTCACTGTTCGCCGGGGCAGCCTCCGCCTCCGCCTCAGCCGTACGCTTGTCCGCTTACTGGGGAGGAGGGACACGACGCCGTCAGTTCTCTTTTACTCTCAAGCCCTCCTCATGAGACCGTGTCCGACGGAGAGAGGTCTCGCTCCGCTAAGTCTCGACGCCGGACTCGTTGGAAGAAGGCTCGTCGTCTTCGGTTGAGTTCTCATATACAGCCAGCCGTCTCTACTTTTTCGGAAGGTGAGGCTGAAGATTCGAGCGAGGCTGAGTACATGTTTTACATGCCTATGTCTGCCGACGACCTGCGTCCGGATCGTCGACTATCGCAGGGTCCCCGCTCTTCTGGTATTCCGTCGACGTCATCAGTCACGGTCACCTAGCCATCGGTTGTTTTCCCTACCGTCACGGCTTCGCTGCCTCTGAGTTCTGGTCTATCTTCTTCCGAATCCCTACTGTCCGCGGTGACCCGAGCACCGAGACCAGCCTCTGGTGGATTGGCCGCTCGACCTGTCACGGCTGCAAGAGTTCCTACGCATGTCTCGGAATCTTCCAGTTCAGCCGAGTTGCCCCAGGCGAGCGCTCTTTCAAGCGTTGCGTCAACGGAAACTGCGCACACTCGGTTGTCTTCGAGTTCTCGGTCACTCCACGTCTCGGCTGGCGTTGCTCCGTCTCGAGGTATTAGTATGTTCACCACACCGACTGACCGTGTGACTTCGGCTCTGAGTGCTCCCAGACCGTCTCTCCCTGCGAGCTCGGCTGCGCTGGCGTCACCTTCTGGGCGCCGCATCCGGAGGCCTGCTGTTACTGCCCGTACTGTGACCGCCCAGCTGCTCGAGGACCTTGACGCTTCTGACGACGAGGTCTTGGGGACAGGCGATGGTTCTGCACAGTCCGCTCGGTGAGTTTTGCAGTTTGGTCGCTTTCGGATCCCATTTCTCTGTTGGAGAACTCGGCGGGTAGCTCTTCAGGTTCTGACTTGGTGGAAGAGAATGTCCGTCTTTCTGCCACGAAAAGAAGCCTTCATGCGGAGATCTTCGGATCCGACGATGAGATGGGCGATGAATCTGGATCGCCGAGTAAACGCTATACTTCGCGACATTCATCAATTGGTTCTGATGACAGAGATGTACCTTCCACCCCAGCGTCGGCTTCGGGGAAACACACTTGATCCTTCACATGGCCCAACTCCGCAAAGTGCCGTTTAAGCATTTCGGCTCCACCCGTTGCTGGAACACGATGTTGGATACATTGACCGGCGGTGCTCAGTTGGAGTTCGTCGGTGGTAAGAGTCCTGTACTGCCTATACCGTGCTCTCTTGAGGGAATCCGAGCCTTTATGGCTGTCTTCGCTCCGAATCATCGCTGTCAGCGTCTTCGTCGGATGCTTCCCGAGCTACACTTCTTCTTCTCTCCGTCGGTACTGGAGGAAGCTCGGCGGTGCCTGGCTTTGCAGACTTGACCTCGTACCTTGATGCAGGCTCTTGGCGATATGTGGGTGAAGCTTTGTGGCGACTGTCCTTTAAACTCGACGGAGCAGCCTGTCACT